CCTGGAAACTGTTGTTTAATTGTAAAACAGTAAACATTGACCCGAGAAGCTAACACCATTTCACAGCAATGCAAGCAAATCAAAGCGGCAGCCGGGGGGGACTCTGCAGCTCTTCGTTTCAGTTTCTGCATTCAGAACTTTCTTAGCAGAATGTTTTGTTTTTCTTACACTGAGATAGCTCCTGGGATTAGATCTCTTTATCCACCCATGATAAAGTTTCTTCCGCTGTTAATATTTGTGGGCTTTGCTGAAGGGGGGAAGCTGTTGGTGATGCCTATGGACGGAAGTGCCTGGCTGAGCATGCGTCTTATCGTGGAGAAGCTCCATCAGAATGGGCACGAAATAGTCCTTGTGGCACCAGAAACTAATCTGTTTTTGAAATCAGGCAAGAATTTCACAATTAAGACCTATCCAGTGCCTTACAAAGATGAACATGTGGATGCACTAATGGAGACTTTTGGTAAAGATCGCTTTGTTGAGCAACCTTTTTTAAATGTTGTTATTTCACTATATGAAAGTCTAGCACTAGCATTCCAGATGCTTTTCCAAAGCTGCAAGAGTTTGTTGAGCAACAAAGAACTGATTCGATATCTCGAAGAAAGTCAATTTGATGCCATCCTCACAAAGCCAGTTGGCATATGCGGGACAGTAGTTGCTGAGTATCTGTCTCTCCCTTCTGTGTTCTTCTTACGTGGATTTCCATGTGACTTAAGATCCAAGGCAACTCAGTGTCCAAGTCCACATTCTTATGTCCCAGGAATGTTTACTAGCAACACAGACCACATGACCTTTACCCAGCGTGTGCAGAACCTGCTACACAGCACACTGGCACTGCGAGCTTGTATTGCTCTCTATTTGCCATTTGAACAACTGGCTTCTGAGTTTCTTCAGAAAGAAGTGACTGCATAATCTCTGAGGCTAGGTCTACACTACCCGCCTGAATCGGCGGGTAGAAATCGACCTCTCGGGGATCGAATTATCGCGTCTCGTCGGGACGCGACAATCGATCCCCAAATCGACGCTCTTACTCCACCAGCGGAGGTGGGAGTAAGCGCCGTCGACGGGAAGCCACGGAGGTCGATTTTGCCGCCGTCCTTACAGCGGGGTAAGTCGGCTGCGATACGTCGAATTCAGCTACGCTATTTGCGTAGCTGAATTTGCGTATCTTAAATCGACCCCCCCCCCCCCCCGTAGTGAAGACCTGCCCTTAGATCAAGGCTCTGTTTGGCTAATGAGACTAGACTTTGTATTCGAGTATCCCAGGCAAGTGATGCCCAATATGATCTTTGTTGGTGGATGAAACTGTGCTGAGTCAAAGCACCTGTCTCAGGTATGTACATTCTGTTTGCCCTTTATCAATACTGGGCCAAATCATGACATGGGCACTCAGGAGTGTGAAGTCCAGCCAAGCTTCTTCCATCCTTAGGTGGGTGGGAGGCAATCTCTGGTCAGTGCCCATATACTGCAGGGGTATTACCCAACATTCCTGTTTTGGGAGCAGGGGCTTCCTGACTGAGTGACAGCCAGACACACAGGAAAGGGACAAAGCAGCCTTCTAGGCTCCCCCAGCACTGGAACTGAAGTTGGCTGACAGTTCTGAAACTGAATTGTCAACTACCAAAGAAGGCCTTAGGGCTGAAAGAGCCCCTCACCATTCCCTGCTGCAAGAAATAAGTCTATAGGAGGGGATCTTCGCTGCAGGATGCCATTAGAAACACACTCATGGCTTTGTGTGTTCCTTGTTCCTGCCTGTCACATGACAGGCCCAACTATGAAAGTGTTCCATTCTTTTTGCAATATATTGTGCATTTAGTGTGGCAGGTGTGATCATAAACGCACGGAGGCCCAGTGCAAAGCCAAAGATGGTAGAGGAACATGTTTTGCACTAAGCCAGCCAACCTTTCCTACATTAGATGTTAATTATATTAAAAGGTAACTGTTTGATAGCAATAGCCTCTATGGTCCACAGCAGAGAACTGCAGGTTAAAAGTGTTTCCCCCAGTCACAGGTTTGGGAGCCAGGACTCAGTACCAAAACTTAGGACTGTTTTGTCCAAATCGGAACAGTTAGGACAAATGATTATCTGAATGACGTTTTCAGCACTGGAAGCAGTTGTAGGATGAGAGGGAGAGGCACAACAGGATACACACAACGCCTCCTCAAAAGAAAGAGTTGTATTATTGAATGTATAAATGATCAGTCACCATTCCTCAGTTTTGCCATCTGTAAAATAGGTATCAGTACCCACCTCACAGGACTGGCCTAAGACTGGATCACATGTTTGTAAAACACTTGTGTGAGAGTCTCTTATTGTCTGAAATATTCTGATGAAAGCCACTATAAGAACACAAAGAATTTTTTACATTGAAAAGTAGGATGGAGGCGAGGGGAACTACAGACGTATGTGTTATTTGTGGGGGAGTTTACCATGGTTTTCAAAGCCTTTTTCATGCCTGCAGGAATTAGCGCAGACATGGGGCAACTCCGTTAGCACAAGCTGGATCAAGGTATAAATTGCACCTTCCTGGGCTCCAGGGGAGATTGCCTTGAGGGAGGACAGACAGTGGTGCCACCAGCCACATACTAAAAGGCTTCTGCTGAAGTGGAACACTTCTAAGTGCTAGTTAGGGCTTAAAAAGTAGTCCTGCCATGTGGCACTGCTCAGGGGATGCACTGAATCTGCAGGGGCCCCAATCTCCCTGGCCACAGCTTTCTGTAGCTAGCCCCACCCATTTTGTGAGAGGGTCAATAAAGGGGAAGCTGCTGCTGTCTGTCTGCCTGCCTGTAGTGGCAGACTTTCTGCCAGCAGAATCTCCAAGAGCAGCTAACAACATAGACCCTGGACTGAATCCAGGGTAAGCTGTATAGTGAAAAGGAATGCAATTTAACATCCTCCCATTTCTTGCATATAAGCTCTGGGGATTGCCACACTGAATCAGATCAACAGTCCTTCTAATCCAGTATCACATCTCTTAGGGCCTGATCCACACTAACCCCCCACTTTGAACTAAGGTACGCAACTTCAGCTACGTTAATAACGTAGCTGAAGTCGAAGTACCTTAGTTCGAACTTACCGCGGGTCCAGACGTGGCAGGCAGGCTCCCCCATCGATGCTGCGTACTCCTCTCGCCGAGCTGGAGTACCGGCGTCGACGGCGAGCACTTCCGGGATCGATCCCAGAAGATCGATTGCTTACCGCCGGACCCGGAGGTAAGTGTAGACCTACCCTTAGTGTAAGATGCTTTAGAGGATACTGCAAGAAACCTAGTAGTGGACAATAATGGAATAACAGAGCTGTGCAGGGAATGGAAATTCTGTTTTGTGGAGGAATTTGATATTTTGAAATTTGTTTTTATTTCAGTCAGGAACGAAACCAAAAGTGTTAATTCGCCATGAAAGACAATTCTGAAAAAAAAAATTAGATGGATTGAAATGTTTTGTTTCCATTTTGACTTTTTTGTTTATAATATCCAATGTAACACAAAATTTAAACAAATGTGAAACCAAAATCTGTTCCAAAAGAAAATAATCAAACCCCTCAGTTAATGCTTGCCTTCTGGCTGTAGAATAAAGTTTTGTATCCCTACTGTTCTAGTCAAATGTAACTGTGGATGGTCCCACTGTCGGGAGAAAAATTAGGGCATCCACCTCTATTGCTTTCATAGTCTCCTCACAGCTTCCAATTTTTTTTTCTTCTTCCTCTTAAAGCTGTTTCTCGTTTCATTCCAGGGTCATTTTATCTTTAGAAAACTAATGATTTCTCAATTTTCAGTGTTTACTGACTCTTACAATTACAGCAATTAATATTCCCTTGGGGAGGGGAAGTTGGATAGTGTAGCTTTTAGAGCTAGACTTGGGTACATTCTTTTCGCTTTACTAAGAGCTTAGGCTGCCAGCTCATGTCAAGCTATCCAACAGTTATCAATGAGATTTAAAGACCGTGAAGATTTCTTAATTGAAGGGGTAATAGTTGCCTCAATATGAAGCCAAAATGAGCAAAACGTGGTCGGATGTTTGGTGCAGCCAGTCACTAACCTTTTAAAACTGAAAATAGCTTTTGAATGCAGATCATCACTGATTCTACTTTAATCTCTTCTTTTTCCATTCCAAGATTATGTGACATGCTTGGCCTGATCCAGTACATGTGCTCAGGGGCTGCCTGCTGGGGGGGACAGGGGAAAACAACCTCCCTTCTAGCTCAGTGGTTAGAGACCTCTAGTTCAAGTTCCCCCTCCACCTGCTGGGGAGAAAGTATTTGAGCAGGGATCTGCCACCTCCCAGGAGAGTCCTCTAACTTATGGGATATTGTGATGTGTGGCTCCATAGGAGTTCTGTTAAGAAACTGGACATGATTTTCCTGGCCTCAGCCATGTGGTCTGGATAAGGGCAAGAAAGGGCAATACTGTTGTTATGCGACAGGGTTCAGACTCCTGTGACTATTGTTTTATATACTCCACCCAGGCAAGGTCTCCAGATCTATCAGATTGGCAGATATGTAGTCATATTGCTTAATGCACCACTGGACGGTGTTCAGATACTGCGGTTATGAGTGTGGAATAAAAACCTATTTAGAACAGACTCATCCTCCTCACCAGCAGTACAATGGCAGGACTTTTATGTGCCCCTGGAAGAAAGGACAGAATTTGCCCCTTAATCTCTGTGCTCTGTTTCTCTATCTGCAATATGTGGATGGTATTTTCTTGCTTTTAGGAGTGTTGAGAGACATCAAGTATTAATGTTAGTAAAGTGCTGTGAGAGCAGGTTCATCTCAGGTTTGGGGCAACAGTTTTGGTCAGTTCTCATTTGACCCAAACTGGTTTACCTGTCTTTTCGGTCTTCACCACTACTTTTGTCAGTTGTAAACGTATTCATAAAAGTTAACATACTGCAGATCTTTCAAAGCTAATGATTAACAAATGCTGAAAGAACAAAATGCCAATTTAGTTCACATGAGAACAAGCAAGTACTGCCAAAAAGTGGGTGTTGTTTCCCAGAGTATAAAAAGTTGTTTCAAACCTCTGTACAGTAACGGAGACTTTTTCTATCATCCACTGAGATGGCTTTTCTTTTTCATCAACTTTACCAATTTGCATCAGGGTTTCTTCTTTTATTAACTTCCTACAACTTTGCTGAAAGTGGCAAGGTGTTGGTGATACCACAAGATGGAAGTCACTGGCTCAGCATGCGTGCAGTAGTGGAGAAACTCGGTGAGAAAGGGCATGAAATAGTAGTGCTTGCTCCCGAAGTCAATTTACTCTTGAAAGAAACAGAGCATTACACAAGGAAAACATATGCTGTGCCTTACACCCAAGAAGATCTTGACCAGACTTTTAGTAAATTTGCTAACAGTCTCTTTCGTGAGGTCTCTTTTCCTTACACTATTCTTGCGGAATACCGGAACGTCATGTACGTCATTAACATGTTTTTTCACAACTGTGACAGCCTGCTGCAGAACAGAGAAATCATAGGATACTTGGAAGAGAATAAATTTGATGCACTCTTCACAGACCCAGCATTGCCATGTGGGGTGATCCTGGCAGAATATCTGTCCATCCCTTCCGTGTACTTCTTTCGTGGATTTCCATGCAGTTTAGAGCATGCAATCTGTAAATCTCCAAACCCTGTTTCCTATGTCCCAAGATGCTATACTAGTCACACAGACCACATGACTTTTTCCCAGCGAGTGGTAAACCTACTGGTTAGCTCTTTAGAGACATCACTGTTTAAGGATTTGTATACCAAATACCAAGACATTGCATCAAAGTTTCTCCAGAGAGATGTGCACTTACCAACACTTTACAGAAATGGCTCCATATGGCTACTGAGATACGATTTCGTGTTTGAGTATCCCAAACCAGTGATGCCCAACATGGTCTTCATCGGAGGCTTAAACTGTGAGGAGGGGAAGAACCTATCTCAGGTATGTCCAGTGATTCTGTTTTGTGTTTGCACTTTCATTTTGATATTTTTTCTGTGGAAAAAGCTGTAGATGAGCAGGGCTGCCCAGAGGATTCAGGGGGCCTGGGGCAAAGCAATTTCGGGGGCCCCTTCCATAAAAAAAAGTTGCAATACTATATTCTCGTGTGGGCCCCTTTGGGGCCCGGGGCAGATTGCCCCACTTCCCCCCCCCGCGCGGCCCTGTAGATGAGCAATGAGCATTATACCTCATTGTAATGTGCTTAATTTACACACCCTCCTCCCTGGCTCTCCACACAAAATACAAAATAGGATGCTGCCTGCATTGAATGTGAATCAGATTCCAAATGATTTTCTCTTTCTAGTGGCAAACTGTATTGCCTTAACATAAATTAAAAGTCTAAGCAATATTACCAAACAAAATGCAGGCTTTGCTGAAAAGTAGGTGAGCCAAAGTCCGCTGTTGTGCAGCAGTGTAAATCTGGAGACAGGCCATTGACATTAACTGGCCAGAGATTTTCTCTGTTGTAAATTAAACCAGACTTTGTAACTGACATTTGTAATTTTCAAAAAGGAACATGCTCAAAGAAAGTGAAAGTCCACAGCTGTCTGGAATGTTGTGTCAGCAGAAGTGGTGGGTCAGCCCTTCCACCTGCCCCAGTGAGACCATTTCCTCCACCTCCTGATCAAACTTGTACCATTGTCATCCCTTCTCCTATAATCCCGTCGGGGGTTGGACTAGATGACCTTCTGAGGTCCCTCCAACCCTGATATTCTATGATTCTATGACTCCTCCTCCTCAACCTCTGACTCTGCTCCTGTTCCTTTCCCTCACAATGCAGGTCTGCTTTGGTCCTCCCCATCATAAGAAACTCCCCTTGAATCCAGCTCCCTCCTCAGCTGTCACTCCACCGCCTCTTCCTTTCACAGGGTCAAGTTCCTTTCTTCCAGTTTAACTTAAACACTCTCCAGCCAACACTCTCAGCTCTTTTCTGTCTCTGTTGATCACACTTTCTTTCTGATTTGTTCCTTTCAACACTGTCTCCTTATTCTTGTTTGAGAATGTGTCTGTGTGTATCCCAGTGTGAGATTGGAGGGTGTTTCAGGATAACTGGTCTCTGTGGATAGACTGAGCCCAGCTAGGGTGGCCAGCAGTCCAGTTTTTGACCGGAAAGGCCGGTTGGAAAGGGGACATGACAGTGTCTGGTCAGATGTACTTACCAGACATCTAAAGTCCGGTTCCTGTGGGCGGCAAAGGCAGGCAGGCACAAGGTCTTCACAGGGCCGGTGCAAGGATATTTTGCACCCTAGGCGAAACTTCCACCTTGTGCCCTCCCCACCCAACATCGGTTCATTGAGGGGCAAATCCCAACGAGCCTATATAGACCCCAGGGGCTAGCCTGCCCAGGGGCCAGCCGTGCCCAGGGGCTGCTCCCCAGACCAGGTTCCCCCTTCCCCGCACCCTGAACTACCCTGGAGGGTGCACAGCCCCCCCGTGAGCCCTTCCCACCCCACCTCGGCAGCCCCCACCCCAAGTCCACTCACTGGCTTTGCCGGTCTTGGGCCGCTGCAGCAGCTCGGCAGGGAGGAGCTGCCTTCTGGGGGCTCCTGTAGCAGATGCATGCGGGCAGAGGTCCCCATGAGCCCCCCCAGCTTCCGCCTTGCCACGCTCGGGCTCTGCGGCTCCCGGGAGTGTGAGCCACCACTGCCACCGCTGCCCCTCCCGGAGCAGGCTCAGGGCCCCGCGCCCCGGTGGCAGCTCACATGCCCAGGAGCCGCAGAGCCCGAGCGTGGTGAAGGAGAAGCTGGGGGGCGCACGGGGGCCTCTGCCCGCATGCATCTGCTGCAGCCTGCAGGAGCCCCCCGGGGAGGTGCCAGGCCGCAGCCTGGGCAGGAGGGGTGGGGGGCGCGACTGCTCCCTGCTAGCGGCGCCGCCGCCTTTGCAGGGCTCCTGCCCCCCTGCGCCGCGCCCGCTCCTCCATGGCTGGGGCTCGCCGCCGCCGCAAGCAGGACATTCTGGCTCTTCGGTGCCTCCGGAAGGCGGCTCCCCCTGCTGAGCCAGGGCACCACTTTTTGGCGCCCCCAGGGCCGTCCTTAGGATTTATGGGGCCCTATGCAGTATTATTAAATTGGTGCCCCTATGCCCGACGGCAGCCTGAGCTTGCAGTCCGGCAATAACAAGACGCCCGGCCTGCCTCATGTGGCGCAGAGTCACAGTTCCCCACAGAGACCCCTGTACCCTCTCCCTCATGCAGAATGGACATGCAGAAGGTACCTAATTAAAAGCACTAAATTTGGCAATAAAAAATGTCAGTCACAGGTTTTTTGATATGCCCTGAAGTTTGTCAGACATTTATTTGCAAAAACTTTGTAGTAAGGGCGAGTCAGCTGTCTTGCTGAACACAACATTAAATATTATGGAATACATGATGCAGCACTTCTGTTTTACATTTTCTTAATCAGTATTTCTAAGCTGATTTTATATTTTAAATGTACTCTTAAATGTACTCATTCCAGATTACTACATATTTAACTCACTGAAACAGACATTATTTTAAATTAATCAGTCACAGAGGTTTAGTGTGTTCATAACAATGTTCATTGCTTTTAGAAAAAGGGAACACTAATTTACTGTGTGATATCTCCATAACAATACACATGTTTATGAAATTTCACCAACTTTAAAAAATATGTTTCCAAAGATTTTAGGCATAACAAAGGTTTTTATATCTTACTAAGGTACTGATTTTGCTTAAAACTAGTTCATCAGATAGTCAGAAGTAAAGAAAGGGAAACTCTTTGTCCAGCTATCTGGAAGCAAAGTGCTGTTGCTTCCTTCAGTGGGGGGGGGGAAAGGGGGGAGGGGGGAGAGGGGGTGAAGGGAGAAATGGATGGACAGAAAGGACAGGAAGGGTACGTCTACACTTACCTCCGGGTCCGACGGCAGGCAATCGATGTTCTGGGATCGATCCCGGAAGTGCTCGCCGTCGACGCCGGTACTCCAGCTCGGCGAGAGGAGTACGCGGCATCGACGGGGGAGCCTGCCTGCAGCGTCTGGACCCGCGGTAAGTTCGGACTAAGGTACTTCGAATTCAGCTACGTTATTAACGTAGCTGAATTTGCGTACCTTAGTCCGAAGTAGGGGGGTAGTGTGGACCAGGCCGAAGACTTTGGAAGTAGGTTTTTTTTTACTATAGTAATTAAAATGTGTATTTTAGATAAGGGGGGTCTTTTGAAGAATTTATTTAAAAAACCATATGTCTGAAGATCCAAGCATTTAAGGCTAAAGATGACTGTGCACTAAAAATCTATGCAAGGATTTTTTTAGAGATGTGATTTTATAATCTTCACCAACTCACTAATGAAATATTTTTAAAGCAAATTTTAAACTAAGGTCCTGTAGACTGACATGTTCTGAGTAAATATTACAGTCATGCACAACTGTTTTTGTCAGTACATTCAGAAACTGACAGTAGATACCTGGGGGTTGGCAAATGCCTGTTAAATGTCTTCATTACCCCTTGAATGGCTCTTTAACAGTTTCAGTGTTGTGCTAATAGGTCTGGCAGGCCAGAGACTGTTTCTCTTTTAACTACTAGATCCCCTTCCCAGGAAGACTCAGAGCCGACAGGAAGGGTCAGAACAGGGATAGGAAAACCAGTAGGGTGGACACTAAGACCCAGTGGTGCCCCAAATTTTCAGGTGCCCTACCCAGCTGCCTATGCCTAAGGACAGCCCTGGGCGCCCCCAACCACTTGCCGCCCTAGGCCACTGCCTAGTTCGCCTAGTGGTTGCACCGGCCCTGGGTCTTCACCCCCGCCAACCCCTACTCACCCGGGGCTGCCTCTTACCTGCATCGGGCCGCTGCAGCTCCCAGCCCCAGCTCCACAGGCAAGTCCCTCCCAATGGGGGTAGAGGAGAGGGGAAGAGCAGCGAGTAATTGGAGAAAGGGAGAAGAAGAGCAAGTGGCCTTGGGGGAAGAGGCTGGGCCTCAGGGGGAAGAAGCGGTGCAGGGGCGGGACCTTGGTGGGGAAGAGTTGGAGCAGAGGCTGGGCCTAAGGGGGAAGAGGTGGGGTGGGGAAGGTTCTGGCATTCCTGCTGGAGCATCCAGTTTTTAAATATTACAAAGTTGTCAACCTTAAACCCAGCTCCCCTGGACTGGAGCATGTGACCCCAATCCAGCTAATTAAAGAGGACTACATCTGGGTCTGTAAAGGGCTGCTAGTAGGCAGCTGGGGAGAAAGGACTGAGACAGGCTGAGCCCTAGAGAGCAAAGCCACACTGGAGTGGAGTTAACTCCTGTGGTGGGTCCCAGAAGCAGGGGGCTCAGAGAAGGAACCCCGTGGCTGCAGCTTCAAGAGAGGTGCAAAGCTGGTGGAGGCGAGGAAGCTTGAAGGAACTGGAGTGCCAAAGAGTTGGCACAAAGTGGCCACAAATGGCTTGGAGAAAATCCCCCTGGTATACGGGAGCTCCCTGCTGGTGAAAAGCCTCTGTAACTGAGATCTGGCTCAGATGATTTAGTTGGGGATTGGTCCTGCTTTGAGCAGGGGGTTGGACTAGATGACCTCCTGAGGTCCCTTCCAATCCTGATATTCTATGATTCTATGATCGCTTATGTCAGTGTAACTTATGTCATACAGGGGGGTGACTTATTCATCCCCCTGAGTGACATAAATGATCCCGACATGGGCTGTAGTGTAAACATAGCCTTCATCTGCTTATGCCTAGCGCCGGCTCTAAATGCAATCACACCCAATCATTGCAGTCCAGTCATACCCTTACAGTAGCTCCTCCCCACTCCATAGGGCCCCACCCAGTGCAACTTGTCTACAGGAGAGGCTCTTGCCCACTGTTATTTTTGAGGACCGTAACCAAACTTTTATGGAACCAGACACTGCTACTCACCTTTCAGAGAGTAAATTTGAAGGGCTTTGCTTAGATGTAGCATTGCTTTGTAGGTTGATTTTTGCAGTTCCTACCTTGTATTTCATTTGTAGGTATCCCTGTGGTATGAAGCATAGTAACTGTATATTCAACCCTGGGCCAGATTCTTTTTTGCCTTTGAGCCTCGAGTCTCATTTAATCTACACCAGGGTCTTAACCAGTCTCCCTGACAGCCCTCCTCTCTGTGTTCCACTAAACAGAAACTCACTGTGCCCCTGATGTGCTGAGATGACACACCAGCCATACATCCAACATAGCATCTACCTACGTGCTGAATTTATTAGTCTGCTCCTAAGAACAGTTCCTTTTTAAGGACTTTGATAAAGTTCGAACAAATGGCTCCTTCTGAAGTGATTTAAACAAGATGGAGCTGCATGGCTCTGCTTTGTGTGCTTGTGGAGATAGCACTTTGCGTTTGAGAGTCCCAGGCCAGCTGTGGTATTCCAAATGCAAAGGGAAAGTTGAAAGGATAATCTGCCTTTGGTAGCCTGTTTATCCTTTACATTCTATAGAGTGTTGATGTGAGTACTTTGTACCTTAACCTTTTGGCTCAGGGGAAAGAGCAAAGATCCCCTATTTCTTATCCAATCTAAAAATATAGATCCATTTCCATCAAAAGAGTGGGAAAGCAGCCTCTTCCCAGTGCACTGAGTTTGATCTCCTTTTTATTAGGACTGCTGAATAATTGCCCATAATTCCAAATAGCTCCTCCTCTATCCCTCTTGAATATTTTCTGCATAAATAGGTGATTTTTTTCCAGAGGTGGCTAAGAGTTGCAGGTTTACAAGGTAGACTTGCATCTGAATCACAACTTTCTCAGGGTTCTGGGAGAGCAGCATTCAAATTTGGAGCCATCTCTGCATTGCTCTGTTCTTTCTGGAGCTCTCTTCCCAGCTCACTTTATTTCTCTGATTCTGGTAATCTCTTTACTGTACCTTTTTAATCTGAGTTAACTCCTGTTGTGTTCTCTTGTCTATCTTGGAAATTTTTGCACTGAGAATCTGAATGTGATGGGAAATCTCTTTTAAAAGACAGACCTCTGAACAGTATGAAAAATATATGTAGCGCCCCTCTCCACCTGGTTACCTCCTTTAATGGCAATCTGCTTACAGGTTTTGATGGACAGGTCTGGGTTCTTTTGGACCCCGCCACCCACTCAGCAGGGTGAATCTTTTTTCTTTTTTTTTCTATGAAATTATTTGGCGGTGCCTCCACCCCCCTCGCTCCTTCCTGGCAGGGTCACCAGGGCAGCTTGGGCGGAAAATTCTAACTACAGAGTAATCCCCACTTACTTGCCAGATAGTTGGAGACTTCCAAGAAATAACACAACACATAAAAATATATTCAAACACAATAATTATATTAAACAGGCAACAAATACAACATAACAGGGTGAAACAGATTTTTAGGGTCACCGGTGCCCACACTGAAAATACCCATGACTTGATGTAACAAGTGTAAAATTAGTGTCCTGTTGGTACGCGTACTTTGCTGGGGCCCTTGATGACCTATAAAATTCTCTGCAGTGGTTTAGCCGTGTGGCTGACTGGGTTCAGTACAGCCCAAAGGACCCACAAGTGGAAGGAGGTGGTGAATCCCTCCACAGGTATAATAAGCAGCAGGTGATAAAATCCTCAAACCCTCACTCCCTGGCCTGAGGACACAGTTCAGGAGTAGGGGGTCCCCAAAACAAATTCCCTGACTAACTAACTAAAAGACGGCGCACTCACGAACTCCATGAAGTGATCTTCAGGTTTGAAGATGACGCTGGACTCTTCAGTCACTGCAGAGGGACTGCTGTCTGCTGTCAGGGATCCTCCTCAAGCAGGAATCAGGCTGCGTTGGTCCCAGGATTTCCCCTCACCACAAAGGGGTGCAGGGCTCAAGGTGCAGATTATACAACTACCCTAACATCCAAACTGTAGCCTCCTAGCCCAGCCTCCAGTCACACACTCCGCAGGCAGCTTCCCTGGACTAGCAGAGCGGACCATGTGGTGACTAGTCTCACCTAGGGAGCTGGGGGTGAACCCAGCCTGGCTGGGGAAATTTCTCAGCAAACGCTACCAATTGGGACTCATCCGTGGGGAAAGAAAACCCAGGTGAGGGATCGGCTGTCAGGTCCTTAGAGGCCAGTTCTCAGGGGGAACCCTGCTTGCAGGCCTGGGACTCACCAGCTCCCCACACAACCAGTCCTGCCCTTGCCCTGGCTGGCTCCAGCCTCTCCCAAAATGGCTTCTCCCCTCTCCTGAACTCCCTGGGAGGGGCATCTCACTCCCTATTGGTTGCCGGGCAGACTCTGAGTTTGCCTTGGCTCCTCCTCCCTGAGCTGCCAGCAGACAGAGCTCCAGGAATCTATGTAATCTCCTTGGGGGTTACATATATTTACCTTTGCATCATATCTTGCCACCATTTCATGTACAGAACTCCTCATTTACAACTGCAGTATCTAAAAGCAATGTCAGGAGATGACCTTATAAGCTTTGCACTAGGAAAACCAACCAAGACTGAGTGTTAAGGGGGAACTATATATGAAGCATATGCCTGGCTTTCTTTGAATTGCAAAGTCACTCTTCCTTGTATTCCACATCCAGGGAACAACTGGTGCAATCTATTTACTCATGGAAAGGTCAATTGTGTAGGGTCACTTTGTGTGTGCTGAACACTGCATTTCTCTACTGACTGATGAAACGTGTCATCATCCAGCCTTGAAAGGTTCTAACACTTGTCTATTGTCTGAAGAGATACAGAAGTGTTCGTTAGGCTTTCCTTCTTGTCTGATCTGTTTCAGGTTTGTGCTGGTAAATTTAAAATGCTGGATCACTATGGGACGAAGTGAGTCCCCTCTATTCCATTGAGTGCTCCTCAAAACACAGCACTGGGCCAGGGACTCAGATGTGCTAGAGCTCTTCTCAGTGCACTTTTGGAGAGGGGTTGGGACAAAGGCTGTGCTTCCAGCATGCCCCAGCAATGGTGTGACATGAGCCTGGTTTTACATCACATGGGATTTTGCTTCCATAATAAAAAAAGCTATCAAAAGTAGCTTCCTCCCCTCACTTTCCTATTGTATTTTATACATATGTAAAGGGAATCCCCAGCTGCTCAGACAGGACAACTTCACATCCCTAATATACTGCTCTGCCAGTGCAAAAGGGTTATAGTCCAGGCAGTACCTTGCCCACTCTTTATAATACAGAGCTAGGAATGTGCTTGACATCACAGGTAGAGGAATGGCTCTTGCCTGAAGCCCTGGACTGAAACAACCATGTTCCTTCAGTTTAAAAAAACTTACTGAATGTCCATGGACCATTAAACAGCTTCACAAATTCCATATAAGTTTGTAAGAGTTGGATCTGTGTCCCAGACATAAGTTGTACTGAGCAAGGCACGGTAATGTGAATTACAAGCAGAGACCCATCAACCTGTGGGAAGTCCCATTAAATCAATGGGATGCTTCAAGGGCACAATGGTCCATGCTAGCAGATTCCATTGCAGTGCTGGGGCCCAAGAGACCAGAATTATTCTATCATACCCATGTTCTGCAGTATCTCGTCACAGACTTCAGCTAAGTGGATACTCATTGTCAGGCAGAACTTACTCTATTACACAGTAACATTGCAGTCTGTTGCACAGTAACGTCGCAGTCCATATTAATAGCACTGTAATTATGAATTATATATGGTATTTCTTCACTCTGATCAGTTACACCCTATGAAAGCATCTTTATTATGCATTTGCCCTAAAGACCAGTGACTGGATATGAATATGCAATTGGAGGTCTTTAAATGCTTTTTAAAAATATATAGATTTTAAGAACTAAAAAACCCAACAACCTTTGGTGTTATAAGAAAGCAAGGAAAAATCATCTTGAAGAGACCCTCTAACATAAATGCAAAGAAAAACAAGTTAATTGGGGCAGAAAGATAGGCCAAAACATAGTTAGAATCTGTTATGTGTTTAATCATTTGGTTGGAATGTAGTCTACTAAACAAAAAACAAAAATCTTTTACCAATAAAAATACTAAGGAAAAATGCGCATAGGTCAGCTTGTGGTGAACTAGATGTTTAATGGGACTGGAATAAATTATTTCATCTTATTACTTCATGTCACCAGTTCCTGTGTTTCTCTTCCTTCAGTAACCTGGGTGTTCTTTGGAGGTTCTCTTTTCAAATATTGATATGGGCCAACCTAACCAGCTTAGGAGATCTGATGAAATCACAGCCTGAGTAAGAAAATTTTCACCTTAATGTAACTATTAAATGACATACGTGGTCAGTACAGTTCCTACTGTATCTACCTACTGAATATAATTGGCACTCTGTTACTCTCATTAATAGTCTGTTACTCTCAGCAGATAAGCCAAGGAATGAAAGATCATGATCACTGAACTAGCCACTGTTACCTGGAGGCACAGTACAAGCCGAATGGAACTGTCTTGTGGCTATATTAGTATTTGTCCTGGCCACCCACTTATCCACAATCAGAAAAGGAGTTTAGTACTCTAACAGTGGATTCTGATTTCCTACACAATTCTTATTACAAAGCAGACAGTTATTTATGAAGGACCGAAGGATCTATCAATACAATCCAAATCTAAATCTTCAGTTTTTGAAAACAGCAATTGCTGCCAGCACAGGGTTTCTATTAGGTTTTTTCCCCTCTTGCGCTGGTACAAACCCCGATCACTCAATGCCTGGGTAAGACAATGGTGTAAGGTTTTAGGTTTATTAGGAACTGGAGAACCTTTGGGAAAGGAGAAGTCTATATAGGAAGGATGTGCTCCACCTAAACCAAAATGGACCCAGACTGCGGGCATGAAAAATGAAGGTCATCGAGGAGTTTTTAAACTAAGGGCTGGGGAAAGCTGGCAGGTGTTGAAGGAGCACACGGTTCAGACAGAGACATCCCATGCCGAGAATCTATTAATGGAGATTCTCCGTGTCCTAGTAAAGAGGAGAGGATAGAAGTTGATAAAATACAGGCAGGAATTGAAGAGAAAGAGTCAAATGAAAAAGAATCCCATTCAATTACAGCACATGAAGGCAGACAACTAAAAAGTGACAGATTTTATAATTGCTTGTATACCAATGCTAGAACTTGAGTGTCTGGTATTAAATGAGGACAGTGATATAATAGGCATCAAAGAAACTTGGTGAAATAATGACTATCAATGGGAGACTGTAATATCAGGGTACAGACGCCCCCCGCGTTATGCAAATGCGACTTACGCAAATCCGCACTTACAGAAAAAGTTCCATAAGCTAGAAATAGGAGGTTTTTTCTTTTATTTTATTTTTTTTCTGCATAATGGTCGGGTATACATTTCCGACTTATGCAAAATTCGAGTTACGCAAGGCGTTCCAGAACAGAACGCTTGCATAAGTCGAGGAGCGTCTGTACAAAATATACAGGAATGACGGAGTAGGTCGTACTGATGAGGAAGTGGCACTATGTGTGAAAGAAAGCATAGAGACAAATACAGTAACAAATCTTTAATGAATCAAACTGTGCCATAGAATCTCTATGGATAGAAATTCCGTGCTTGAGTAATAAGAATATAGCAGTAGGAATATACTACTGACCAATTCTGATGGTGATTGTGAAATGCTCAGGGAGATTAGAGAGGCTATTAAAATGAAACAACTCAATAATAATGGGGAATTTCAACTATCCCCACATTGACTGGGTACATGTCACCTCAGGATGGAATGCAGACAAAGTTTCTAGACACCACGAATGACTGCTTTTTGGAGCAGCTAGTCCTGGAACCCAAACGGGGAGAGGCATTTTTTGATTTAATCTTAAATGGAGCACAGCATCTGGTCAAAGAGATGAATATAGCTGAATGGCTTGGTAATAGCAACCATAATATAATTAAATTCAACATCTTTGTGTTTGGGGGGGGGGGGGGGGGGGATTACCAAAGGAGCCCACCACAGTAACATTTAATTTCAGAAAGGGGAACTACACAAAAATGAGAAAGCTAGTTAATTGAAAATTAATAGAAACAGTTACAAGAGTGAAATGCCTGGATGCTGCATGGAAACTTTTTAAAAACACCATAATAAAGGCTCAAATTATATGTATACCCCAACATTAAAAAGAATTGTAAGAGCACCAAAAAAATGCCACCATGGATAAACAGAGTAAAAGGGACAGTTAGAGGCAAAAAAGCATCCTTTAAAAATTGGAAGTCAAATCCTACTGAGGAAAATAGAAAGAAGCATAAACTCTGGAAAGTCAAGTGTAAAAGTATAATTAGCCAGGCCAAAAAAGAATTTGAAGAGCAACTAGCACAAGACTTAAAAACTAAACAGCAACAAATAATAATAATAATAATAGATAATAAATTAAGTATATCAGAAGCAGGAAGTCTGCCAAACAATCAGTCGAGCCACTGGACGATTGAGAGCACTCAAGGAAGACAAGGCCATTCAAGAGAAGCTAAACTAATTCTTTGCATCGGTCTTCACTGCAGAGGATGTGAGGGAGATTCCCACACCTGAGCCATTCTTGTTAGGTGACACATCTGAGGAACTGTCCCAGACTGAGGTGTCAACAGAGGAGGTTTTGGAACAAATTGATAAATTAAACAGTAATAAGTCACCAGGACTAGATGGTATTCACCCAAGAATTCGGAAGAAACTCAAATATGAAACTGAAGAACTACTAACTAGTATGTAGCTTAAATCAGCTTCTGTACCAGATGACTGGAGGATAGCTAATGTGATGCCAATTTTTAAAAAAGGCTCCAAAGGTGACCCCCAGCAATTACAGGCTGGTAAACTTAAATTCAGTTCCAAGCAAATTAGTTAAAATTATAGTAAAGAACAGAATTCTCAGGCACATAACTGAACAAAATATGTTGGGGAAGAGTCAACATGGCTTTTGTAAAGGGATATTATGCCTCACCAATCTATTACAGTTCTTTGAAGGAGTCAACAAACATATGGACAAGGGTGATCCAGTGTACCTGGACATTCAGAAAGCTTTTGACAAGCTCCCTCACCAAAGACTCTTAAGGAAAGTAAGCAGTCATGGACTAACAGGGAAGGTCTTCTCATGGATCGATAACTGGTTAAAAGACAGGAAACAAAGGGTAGGAATAAATGGTCAGTTTTCAGAATGGAGAGAGATAAATAGCGGTGTCCCCCAGAGATTTGTACTGGGACCAGTGCTGTTAAACCTATTCCTAAATGATCTGGAAAAAGGGGTAAACAGTGAGGTGGCAAAATTTGCAGATGACACAAAATTATTCAAGACAGTTTAGTCCAAAGCACACTGTGAAGAGTTACCAAGGGATCTCACAAAACTGGGTGACTGGGCAATAAAATGGCAGATGAAATTCAATGTTGATAAGTGCAAAGTAATGCACATTGGAAAATATAATCCCAACTATACATACAAGATGATGGGGTCTAAATTAGCTGTTACCACTCAAGAAAGAGCTCTTGGAGTCATTGTGGATAGTTCTCCAAAAACATTCACTCAATGTGCAGCAGCAGTCAAAAAAGCTAAAGAAATGTTAGGAACCATTAGGAAAGGGATATATAATAAAAGTAAATATCATAATGCCACTATATAAATCCATGGTACGTCCACACCTTGAATACGGTGTGCAGATCTGGTTGCCATTTCTCAAAAAAGATACATTAGAAATGGAAAAGGTACAGAGAAGGACAACAAAATGATTAAGGGTATGGAAAGGCTGCCATATGAGGAGAGATTAAAAAGACTGGGACTTTTCAGCTAGGAAAATAGACAGCTAATGGGGGATATGATAGAGGTCTTTAAAATCATGAATGGTGTGGAGAAAATGAATACTGTAAAGAAATATT